CAGCCCAGGACCCTCACCAGCCCAGGACCCTCCCCAGCCCACCCAGACCCCTCCTTGCTACGTGCCCGTGAGCCCAGGACGGCTGCAGCTTTTCCTGCCCCAGTGCCCAGGGCTGGGCTGGCAGCTGGCAGGGGGGCAGCTCCCCTCCAGGAGCTCACCTGAAGGCGTAGGAGGCGGCGATGAGGGTCAGTGTCACCACGTGGTGGAGCAGCATGACCACGGAGTCCTTGCGCCAGGTGTCCATGTAGGCAGTGGCATAGATGGAGTGCCCGTAGAAGCTGCACTGCATCAGGTAGGCGATGGCAATGTCCGTGGGCACCTCCATGCCCTTCTTCCAGTCTGGGGTGGGACAAAGGCACCCGGGTGAGCCCAGAGCCCTGAGCACAGAGCCCCCAGGAGCGCCCGAGCAGCAGCAGCAGCTGCCCCAGACACCAGCCCCAGGTCCTGGCCGTGCCCAGCAGCTCCAGCTCCCTCTCAAGGGGTCAGCACAGGGGCAAAGGCTGGAAGGGAACCCGGGTATCCTGGCTCCCAAACTCTGCCTGTGGCATTGGAGTGGTTTCTCTCCTGCTTTACCTGCTCCACCCCACTCCCTGCCCCTGCTGCAGCCACCGGGTGACAGTGACAAACCACCTCAGGCAGCCCCAGCTGCCCCTTCTGCCCCCACAGCAGCACAGAAAAGGCAATTTGGGGGTTCAGCCTTCTCATTCACACCCCAGCTCCCATTCCCCTGCTCACCCAGACACCCTCAGTCCATGCCCTCTCCTCCCTGGCTCTTACTGTACCGTAGAAGACGGAGGGTGGGTCGTGGAAGAAGGGGTAGTCGGTGAAGAAGAGCAGGTAGGTGCCATACGACCAGGATATCGTGTAGAAAAGCAGCTTCCAGGCACTCTCAGGCATCTTGGCAGCATCTTTCGGCTGCAGGTTGCACCACTCCCCAAAGGGCTGCAAGGAGAGGGGAGAATTTTCATCATGCAGGGTAAAAAGACAGGTCCTGGGGAGCCCAGGGCAGAGCACCCCAAACCTGCACGGGGCTGGAGCTCCGTGGGCACACCCAGCCAGGGGAGGCAGGGTCACAGCCCCGCTCTTCTGGCTGCCTCTACGGCATGGAAAGGTCAAAGGGAAGCAGGGAAAACCAGGAGGCCAGAGATCCTTCCCCTCAGGCTTGGCCAGGGTGGGAGGCTGGGGAAGCAAAGCTCGTGGAGGAGGCAGAAGCCTTCAGCACATGTCCTGGGCACCCCTCTACAGCATGGAAAGGTCAAAGGGAAGCAGGGAAAACCAGGAGGCCAGAGATCCTTCCCCTCAGGCTTGGCCAGGGTGGGAGGCTGGGGAAGCAAAGCTCGTGGAGGAGGCAGAAGCCTTCAGCACATGTCCTGGGCACCACTCCACCCCCTGGCTCCAGGAGCAGGGCTGGCCACAGCTGCCTCCTGCAGAACATGGGCAAGAACTGATAAAAGAGCAATCTGCAGGAGGAAACCCAGAAGAGGAAGCTGTAACAAGAGCACCCTGCCCACGGGCACCCTGCAGCAGCACCAGCTCCCAGGAAAGAGCCTTTTGAGGCTGGAATGAGGTGAGGGTTGGGCTCTTCTCCCAGGTTACTAGTGACAGGATGAGAGGACATGGGTTGAAGTTGCACCAGGGGAGGTTTTGAGGGGGTATTAGGAAGAATTTCTTTCCTTGCAGAGTAGTGAGGGGTTGGCCCAGGCTGCCCAGGGAGGTGCTGGAGTCCCCAGCCCTGGAGGGGTTCAGAAAAACATGTGGAAGTGGCACTTGGGGCCAGGGTTTGATGGTCATGGGAGTGTTGGGGGGACCTGCTGAGCCTGGAGGTCCCTTCCAGCCACGGTGATGCGATGGGAAGCAAAGCCCCAGCACCAAGCAGCCTCAGCTCCTGGGGTAAAACCTCCCCTTGTGCCAGGGCCACCCCTGCCCCACACCCCCCCAGCTCAGCCAGGCTCATGTGGAAGTGGCACTTGGGGCCAGGGTTTGATGGTCATGGGAGTGTTGGGGGGACCTGCTGAGCCTGGAGGTCCCTTCCAGCCACGGTGATGCGATGGGAAGCAAAGCCCCAGCACCAAGCAGCCTCAGCTCCTGGGGTAAAACCTCCCCTTGTGCCAGGGCCACCCCTGCCCCACACCCCCCCAGCTCAGCCAGGCTCTGGGCAGGACCCTCCTGGGCACCAATCCTGCTCCTCAGCACCGGGGCTGGGGCAACTACCCCAGGGACCATCGCTGGTGCCACCCAAGGGGCCCAGCCGAGGGCTCCCTGGGGACAGACCAGAGAGCTGGAGAGGAAAACAAAATGCCTGAGGGTAACCATACCCTGCCCAGCTGGCAGCCCTGCCCCACGCTGCTCCCTGGCTATATTAAGGCCCCAGCTGTCCCCGGGCAGAGCCTGCTCTGGCTGCCAGCCCCTCGCCAGCCCCTCAAAAGCCCCTCGGCACAGACTCCACTCTGAGCATTGTCCCAGCCTGAAAGGGCTTCACTCCAAGCTCTGGATTTCCCAGCACTGGTCAGAGCAGGACCCAGCAGCCCCCCAGAGCTCTGCCAAGTTGTCCCAGTCCCCTGCGGGCAGAGGGGCACAGCTCCAGCACCCCCCCCCAATCCTCCCCCAGCCAGAGCTCGCTGCTGCCAACAGGAGCCACGGGAGGAAAAAGAGGAGGAAGCTTGAAGGGGGAATAAATAATGCAGAGACAGAAAGTCCCCAGCCCAGGAAGCATGAATTATTTGTGTGTCCACAGAGGGGGAGTGTGGAAGCAGCTCAGATGTGGGGACAGCTCCCACGACAGCCCCCCACCCCTCTGCTGGGGCTGAATTTAGGAT